ACCATGCCTGGCTGGGTTTAGCCTCTTACAGAAGAATGTTTCCAGAGCGTCATGGGCATTTCTATTAGGTTCTGAGCTAACCAATCAAGCGATCAAAACAAGTGTGATCACCCAGAAAGATAGGATCTGTATTACCAGATGCAATCACACTGCCACAACCTTCTATTTCACTGCTTACAGAAACAGATTTCTAGGGCCAGGTGTGGTGCCTCATGACTATAATTCCAGCTACTTAGGAGGCAGGGATAGGAGGACTGCAGTCTGAGGCTGGCCCTGGGCAAAAGCTTGAGACCGTCTAGAAAAAGTAAAGCGAAACAGATCTGGGAGCATGGATCAAGCGGTAGAGCACCTGCCTAGCAAGCGTGAGGCTCTGAGTTCAAACCCCTGAAATGCTCAATTAAAAAAAATAGACGTCTTTGACAAACTCTGCATTCCCTCTTCCTTGCTTATTCGGGCAGCAAGAACCATCCCCAAGCCAAGCAATAAGACCAAATGAAAAGGTTCCAGTACGCAGGGTAAAATAAGCAGGACGCTCAACAACTATCCACACCTTTGGATAAAATTATCAAGGCTGTCAGGAAAATGGTCTCAGAGCTATCCTAGTCAGTACAAAAGCCTCACTTTCTAATGGTTCCCAAACATGGAGGGAGAACCAACTGCAGGGATTCTGATCTTAGGATCACCAAGAAAAGCAACCTGAAAAACAGAATAATGGTCTGAACCCAGTTCAAGACCAGAAAAGTTCATTCTATTTTAGACATTAGACAAAAGCTGTACATTTGAGCCTGGTGGCCCACGCCTACAATCCTAGCTACCTGGGAAGTTGAGATCAGGAGAATCGAGGTTCAAAGCCAGCCTAGTTTGTGAGACCCGATCTCCAAAATAACCAGAGCAAAATGGACTGGAGGTGTGACTTAAGGGGTAGAGTGTGAAACCCTGAGTTCAAACCTTAGTTCCACAAAAAAAACACACAGAAAAAGTTTACATTTGTCTATGGGAGGAATCATTCAAAGCGCTCTTCCTTGTAGTTCAAGTGCAAGTAGAGATCATTATGATCATTATACTGGGGTTAGGTCTAGAAGATTCTATAATGTTATGTGTATTTGGGGCATGCCAAGAAAGCCTTTGGTTGAAATCAGACATTCCTAGTCTTGGCAATTACCAAGCCATCAGACACAGGACCAATGTCCAGCCATACTGGCCTCCATCAGTCAGGGGACTTTTGGAGCCCTGCCCCAGAATTCAAGCAACATTTTTCTCTGAACTTCAGAGAGAATGAATAGTACCTATGAGATCAAAATAAAACCTACTTCTTGAAATTCCAATTATGATAATAGCAATATCTTTTTTGTTTTTTTGTTTTGTTTCTTGCAGTACTGGGGTTTGAACTCAAGGGCTTGCACTGGTTAGGTAGGTGCTATGCCACTTGAGCCTCACCCCAGCCCTGTTTGCTTTAAATTATTTTGGGGACAGGGTCTTGCTGTTTGCCCAGCCTTGCCTGGACCACAATCCTATTTGTTTTCCGAGTAACTGAGATGACAGGCACATACCACCACACCCAGCTATTGGCTGAAATGGAGTCTCACTTTTGCCTGGGCTGGCCTCACACAGTGATCCTCCTGAGTAAGTGGGATGACAGATGTGAGCCATCACACCAGGTGGCAGTATCCATTTTTGCTTGATTTGTGGAGGTGCATGTTTTTACTTGAAAGCATGGGAACACAGGCCTTAAGGTACAGTGCCAGGGTGGCTAACACAACTTTAAAGTACCATGAGGATGTGGGCATGTAAGTTTCATTCTACTAACTCTGTAGAGCTACACATTTGTGTAACCGTCACCACGTCGAGTGTAGTGCTACACTGGGCTGCTCATGCACAAAGATGAAGGAAGAAAGAGCCCCAGTTCTGGAAACATGATCAAATAAGGTGGTGAGTATGAAAATACCATGGCTTTTCAGATCGATGTGGAGAAAATTAAAAACACAAACATTTTAATGTATAGCTGGGTACCAGTGGCTCACGCCTATAATCCCAGCTACTCAAGAGGCAGAGATCAGGAGAATCAAGGTTCAAGGCCAGCCTGGTCAAATAGTTCCTGAGACCCTATCTCAAAAATAACCAACACAGAAATGGGCTGGTGGAGTGGTGAAAGTGGTAGGGCACCTACCTAGCAAGCGTGAGGCCCCGAGTTCAAATCCCAGTACTGCCAAAAAAAAGCCTTAAATATTCCTTGAATGCCATAGAAATACACAGCTATCACAGCTAGCAACCGGCAAAGAACCCTAGCTGAGTCGCTGCCTGGTTTAAATAGCTGGAACGGTGTACACTTTGAAGGAGAGCTCTGACTAGGCTGCTCAGCTAAGGGCTCTTACCTGCCTACTTTTGTTTTTTAAAGGTGTGTCCCAGGATAGAAAGCAAGCAGGGAATTACAGGAACGACTACCGGCGTACGGGACTGCATGTGTCTGGAAAGCCCCACAGCCCTTAACAGGAACCAGGAACTTTACCAGATCAAAGCGCACTGACTTCACACAGCAAGTGCCTTTTTTTTTCTTTTTTTTAAATCTTATTGGTTCTGTCCAACACCACTTCCGTAGTAGTATCTGGAATAATTGTAGTGAACTTCCATCCCAGAGATGGATCATTCTACCTTGCATTAAAATCCCAGCCCAGGCCAGGTGCTGGTGGCTCACGCCTGTAATCCCAGCTACTCAGGAGGCAGACATCAAGAGGATTGCAGTTTGAGGCCAGCCTGGGCAAATAGTTTAAGAGACTCCATCTCCAAAATAACCTGGACTGGAAAATGGACTGGAGGTGTGGCTCAAGGGGTAGAGTACCTGTTTCACAAGCGTGAAGCCCTGAGTTCAAACCCCAGTCCTACCAAAAAAAGAAAAAAGAACGAAAAGGGCTGGGAGCATGGCTGAAATGGCAAGGCCTAGCAAGTGCAAGACCTTAAGTTCGAAATCCTGTACTGCCCCCCAAAAAACAAAAAACAAAAACCAACTGAGGGAACATATAGTTCATTGAGAAAAAAAAAATGTGTGCCAACAATTTCACCACTATTCTTTTATCAAATATTTATCCAGTTCCACCTGTGTGCCAGTCACCCTTGCAGACACTGAGGGCAGTGGTAAACAACATGCAAATCAGCCCTGGCTGGTGCTACAGCCCAGAAACCATGCGCCACTCCTACAAATGGCTAACACCAAGCTGCCCACTATGTGCCAGACACCGTCTCTCTACCTCGTTTAATCTCACCAGCAACATCACGAGGTAGGTAATAATATCATCCTTATTTACACTGGAGAAAACCAAAACAGCTGGCACATGAAGGAATGTGATGTTAGTGAATGTCAAATGGGCACAAGAGTGCTGGCTAACACAGGGATGGGGGTGGCTGATGGGGAGTGTTTCTCAGATGAGGGTCTCACAGAAACAGTGTTTCACCAGTTCAAAGTGTGTAAACACTTATGAGATACAGCATATGAACAGATACCCTACTGCTCCAAGTACAAGACCAAGCCTGTGCTATGATCTCTCTCTCTCTCTCTCTCTCTATCGGTGCTGGGGATCAAACCCAGAGCCTCCTGCACGCTAGACAAGTGCTCTGCCACTTGGCCACACCCCCTAGTCCAACCAAAGTTTTATTAAACTAATAATTAAAAAAATAATAATCACAGGCTGGGCACTGGTGGCTCATGCCTGTAATCCCACCTACTCGCGAGGCAGAGATCAGGAGGACCATGGTTCGAAGCCAGCCCAGGCAGATAGTTCTCAAGACCCTATCTCAAAAAACCCATCATAAAAAAAGAGCTGGTGGAGTGGCTCAAGATGGAGGTACTGGAAGCCCCAGTACCACAAAAAATAATCACAACAGTACACTAGTGTAAGGAATTATTGAAATTGTCCTGATTTGTCATTTGAGTTGTGAGGGCCAGAAAGGATTGGTTTGTTACCTGAAGGCCGCGGCACCGCACATATCAAGCATAGGGTGACAGGGCTGTCTCCTGGGCCTGCCCCCCTCCTTAAAGCACTGGATCAACTCTGCAGCAGGGGTGCGTGTGGTGGGGGGCTGGTAGTCGACTTGAGCCCATTCCACCCTCCTGCATCTGCTCTGGACAATGTGTTCCAATCAGGCGAACTTCCCTCTGTGTTGGGCAGGTTGTTGTTGCCACTTTTATGTTGTCCCAGGACACAGTTACACCTTGCAAAGGATCAGCAGCTTCCAACAGGAATAAGATTTTTAAAAATAGTTTTAAGAATTTGAATTTTTCAACTTACTTAATTTTCTGTTGCATTTTGAGTTTCAGGTTAGTAGATGTTAAAAACATATTTCCATTTGTGAAAATGAAGAGAAAAGCTGGACAGTGGCTCACACCTGTAATCCTAGCTATTCAGGAGGCAGATATGAGGAGGATCTCGGTTCGAAGCCAGCCTGGGCAAATAGTTCTCTAGACCCTTCACAAAAATAGGGCTGGCAAAGTGGTTCAAGTGGTAGAGTACCTGCCTAATAAGTGTGAAGCTATGAGTTCAAGCCCCAGTGCTAACAACAACCAAAAAAAGAGGTAAGAATTTAAGTTTATCTTTAGAGGGTTATAATTTGCAAAACAGAGGCAGAAAATGGCAAACTTTAGCTTCATTGAGAGATACTGCATTGAAAAGGAACTATAGATCTACTTCTGTTTCTTTTTGGTTAAACATTAAACTTTCTTATTTCTTCTTTGTTTTTGGAGGAGGGTGGTACAAGGGCTTGAACTTAAGGCCTTGTGCTTACCAGGCAAGTGTTCCACCACTTGAGCCACACCTCCAGCCATGGATTAAACTCTTATTAAAAGTAACGCTTTCACATTTAAAAGAATGTGAAAGAAGCCCAACTCCCTCCTCCTCTCACCCTCCAGTGACTCTGGCAGCCATTGAGGGTTTCAGCGAAGGCATGGCTAGCACTTCTGGACTTTGAACCTCTAAAGCACCACGTAAATAAAAACAGTTTAAGTAACATACCGGCAGCATCGCCACCCCCTACTGCTCGCTCCAAATGGTGCACAGCTGGAACAGACGGTTAGCAGCCCTTAGATCTGTAACCCTGCCAGCTACTCTGCTCCCGGGTTTGGGAACACATTCATTTATTTTTGAAAGACAGAAACAGCAGCAACATTCACTCTCACAGGGGCCTCAAGTTTATCCACAAAGTTACAGGCAGCTGTTACAACCAAACGCAGTCCCTAAAATGGTGATAAACCAGGGAGACATCCAAGGTCAGGAAAACAGAAGCATAAAATCAAGGCAAAATATGGTTGACGGACTTCATATACTCGTACCAAACAGAACAATGAAACCTCTTGCAATTGCTTTAAATGGGGCAGGAGGGGGTCAAGGGGGAGAGATGGTGGGCGTGATCTAACCAATGTTCAATATAAGCCTATTTGGAATTGTCAAAATGAGTCCCACCACCCCCCCAAAAAAAACAAATTACATCCTAATAAAAAAAAAAAAAAGAAAAGAAAAAGAAGCCAGGCATTGGTGGCTCATGCCTATAATCCCAGCTACTCAGGAGGCAGAGATCAGGAGGATCACAGTTCAAAGCCAGACCCCGGGAAATAGTTCTCAAGACCCTATCTCAAAAAAACCCTTCGCAAGAAGGGGCTAGTGGAGTGGCTCAAGGTGAAGGCCCTGAGTTCAAGCCCTCCCCCCACCAAAGAAAAGAAAAAAGTCAAGGTAGAGGAGAATAAGAACAGAAGTATACAGGTCACAGAGCTGTCATTGCTCTGTTCATATCCACAAGTTCTAAATTTATGGAGAAATGACGCAAACAGTGGTGGACATGAAATGCTCCGGTTGTAGACATCACCTATATTCACGCTTTTCTAGCACACACACACACTTCCTATGGTTTTAAAAGATCTGCTCGTCCTAGCTAGTTGGAAGGCTAAGATCAGGAGGCTTGTGGTTCAAGGCCAGCCTGGGCAAAGAGTCTGCAAGACCCATCTTCAAAATAACCAGAGCAAAATGGACTGGAAGTGTGGTTCAAGTGGCAGAGCACCTGCTTTGCAAGTGTGAAGCCCTGAGTTCACACCCCAGTCCCACCAAGAAAAGATCTGCTCTACTGACTGGAGTTCAGGGAAAGGCATTCAAACAGTGGAGATTATGTCTTAATTTGGCCCATATATTCTGGAGGGCACTTTGCAATGTACAAATATGCTTTAAAATGTACGACCCTTTGGGCTGGAGGAGTGGCATGTGGTAGAGCACATGTCACAAGCATGAGGCTCTGAGTTCAAACCCCAGTACCACAAAAAAATAAAATAAAATAAAAATAATGCATGACCCTCTGACCCTCAGCTCTCTCTGGGGACTTAGCTTTGGGAAAACTTGATGGATCAGGTCAAAACATTCTCTGCAGAGATGCCCACGGCAGTGATTTTTCAGCAGAGTACCGGCACTGATCTAGGTCTAACAGCAGGCTGGATCGATAGGTTACGATGAAAAATGCTGGACCGTGGACTCAGCAGAATGGTGAGGCACGGAACACTGCCCCACATGGGGATATGTACTGGGAAACATTACAAAGAGTGACAGGAAGAGTGAGTGCCCTTGCTGGGTTGTGGGATTCCAGCTGACTCATTTTCGGTACAGATTTTCAGAGAAACTTTGGAAATGTTCTGGAATCAGAGAAAATTCATGTGAAGCCAGGTGCTGGTGGCTCACACCTGTAATCCTAGGTACTTGGGAAGCTGAGATAGGAGGATCAAGGTTCTAGGCCAGCCTGATCAAAAAGTTCTTGAGACCTCATCTCCAAAATAACCAGAGCAAAATGGACTGCACCTGTGGCTCAAGTGGTAGAGCGCCTGCTTTGCAAGTGCAAAGCCCTGAATTCAAACCCCAGTACTGCCAAACAAAACACAAAAGAACAAAACCCAGGCAAACTGTTGAGCTATGATGGTGGACCATTAGAATACTGAACTGGTCTATGGTTTCCCTAGCGATCTCATGCTGTATGGCCTGAGGCCCACACTCCTGGCCCCAGTTCTGGCTATGACATGAAGTGTCCCCATGGGCACCTACTGAGGCTGCAGGCTACCTACAGAGAAAGTGGTCTTCTGCAGGCCTGGGGCACACAGTTTGGTTTTGAATTTCCAAATTTTATTTGCATATATCTCTCAGAGTGGCAAAACTTCAATCGCTTGACAAAATCAGCCACCGGAACACTCATACACTGCTGGCTGAGCCGGATGGTACAACCACTTTGGAAAATCGCCTGGCACGTTCTTCTAAAGCTGGTAGTATATTGTTTGACACTTAGCATGTCTACTCCTGTGCATACCCAAGAGATCTGAGGGCTTGTGCCCACCAGATGTGTACTAGAATGATCCTCAAGCTTCACTCATGATATCCTGTAGCAGTCTGAAAACAATTCAAATGTCTATGAAGAAAAGAATGAATTGTAAGATAGTCACACTGAAAAGGAACTAACTACAATCGCCCAGCCACATGGATGAATCTGACGAGTACTGGGGTGAAAGCACAAAGACAAAATACTAAATGTCATTAGAGGTAGGGGAGGGGCCCCTTCCGTAGTGTAGAGCCTGGAAGTCAGTATGAGGGCAGTTCAGTGGGGCTTGTCAGTCTGTCTTTTTTCTTTTTTTTTTTTTTTGGGTGGGGGTGGTAGAGGGTGGTGCTGGGTATTGAACCCAGAGCTTCAGGATTGCTAGACAAGCACCCCACCACTGGAGCTCCCTCCCCAGCTCCTCACTTCTTGACAGGAGTGCTGGTGACACAGATGTATTAGCTTGTGATATCTCTGTTTTGGTGATACTGGCGTTTGAACTCAGGGCTTTCTGAATGTGAGGCAGGTGCTTTTTCTCTTGAGCCACGTCCCCAGTCCCACTTGTCACTATGTAGTGAGCTATATATACTTCAGCACACTTTCTCTGTGTTTTGTAGTTCACTTGCCCAGATCAGCAGGTAGGTTAAATTAGTGTTTGTGCAGCTTTCATCCTAACTTTGACGTTTTGTTTTTGTGGTGACACTGGGGCTTCTTAGGCAGGTGCTCTGTCATTTGAACCACAGCCCTTTTTGCTTTAGTTATTTTCGAACCAGGTCTTGCTTTTCTGCCCTGGCAGGCTTGGTCCTCGATCTTCCCATCTACTCTTCCCAGTAGCTGCGATGACATGGGGGTCTCCCTGTTGGCCCACACTGGCTTCAAACTGCAACCCTCTAGGTCTCCACTTCCCAAGTAGCTAGGATTACAGGCAAGAGCCACCACACCCGCCAATAATTTTTACTTTTTAATTGCAGAATAAATAGCCATGTGGAATACTGAAGATAACAAGAATCCAAGTTGCTGCAACTCTGTGTACTTTGAGTCTCTTCTGCAGGTCTGTACAAGGCAAGAATTAATGCTAAATACTCAAGTTAATGTCACAAATGTAAAGTCAAAAGCTACCTGAAACCTGTGGAGAGTGGCATCTTCCCAGGTGGTCCCAGCCTCCCAAGTCTGACAGGAAAGGATGCTCATAGCAATGGTACCCTAGTTCTGAAACTTCTTTCCCATCAAGGAAAAAAAAATGTTTTTGATAGGCAAAAAAAAAAAAAAAAGGTATTTCTGGCTTTATAGTTTCATTTTATCAAACAAAAAGCTAAAGCAGAGGCTGTTGCAGACAACAGTCAATATTTGGAACCATTTTTCTGCTCCTGGCACATGATTCTTTCTTCATTTGTTTTTTTCGGTGGGACTGGGATTTGAACTCAGGACTTCGCACTTGCAAAACAGGCACTCTACCACGTGAGCCACACCTCCAGTCCATTTTGCTCTGCTTATTTTGGGGTTGGGGTCTCAAGAGCTATTTGCTTGGGGCTGGCCTTGAACTGTGATCCTCCCATCTCAGCCTCTCAGGATTACAGGCGTGAGCCACCACACCTGGCTACAGAGATGTTTTAAAGTGTTATATGTTAGACTTGTAGACTGTTGTCCACACTGGAAACCAATCAGGCAGGTACTTTCACTTACACATCCCCTAGTAAACACAGGTTGAGAAAAACAAAACACTAAGCGAACAAGGAATCACATGCCTAGACTGCTTGCTTTACACAACCAAAGAATAAACGCATCCCAGTTTCATATTAAAAGGTTTGTTCAAAACACGCCCATGATAAGTGGCCAGGATCGTAGAGTTTTCAGCAGCATCTTCGACCACCATTTCATTATGAAAATACATTTGGTTTGTGCATTTATTGGTCACTAGAAACTGAATTATTATTTGGGGGACAGGGTGGACGTTGGTCCTTTATAGATTCCAGGCCTCTATCTAAAACTTGTATGAGTGCACAAAACGCTCATCCACCTCAAGGGCAGATACATTCTTAAAATGAAATGAAACATTCTAGGAAAACTATCAAGGGAACAGCCGGGCGTGGTGGTACCAGCCTGTAATCCCAGCACTTGGGAGGCAGAGGCAGGAAGACTGGGAGATGGAGGCCTGCCTGGGCTATCTAGGGAGATGCTATCTCAAACAAAACAGAAAATGAAAAGGAAAGAAAAGTACCAAGGGGGGAGCAGGGAGCCTGGCAGAGAAAGGCACTAAATCAATCAATTACATATGAAGTCATTCAACAAACACAGGGACTGCACACCAGGAACTGTTCTGAGTGCCTGGAATACAACGAAACCAAGCTCCTTGCCTTGGAGAGGTCATATTCCAGGTGAGGAGGAAAGAGATGAACAAACACCATAAATAATATATCACAGTAAACTCTGAGGCAGCAAGCTTTATGGGGAGAAGGTGAAGGGAGCTTAAGGGAGGGAGTGAAAGATAGGTGGAGCTGTGGCGATTTTAAGAGTTGTTTGAGCAGGCCTCCTTGAGAAGGTGACATTCAAAGACTTCTGTGTCCCTTTCACCCTCCCTTTGTCATTTTCTCCCTTCACTCAGGGCTTAGCAAGGGTTCCTCAGGTAGGGCCTCCCGGATGAAGCCACACCCACCTTTCCTCCACTTCCTGACTTTAAGGCTTGGAA